CATATATACATGCATGATGTCTGTCCTGGCTGCCATTAGAAACACAGCATATCCACTGTTGCTTTCTGTTTACAGCTTCCACAATGTTTTAATTCAAGCTGATTTACTTCTGTTTGTGTACCTTATTGAACATATATGGCATATTTTGGCAGGAATAATTCTTTTAAATATTTTTGGTTTAATAATTTTGACAAAGTTCTGCCTATGAAATTTTTTATTAACTTTTTCAAATTTCTGAATTAATTTTTTTCTGTAATGAGTAAATATGCCAAAATTCATAAATAAAAACTTGAAAACATCTTATTCAAACAACAGACCCCTTGAAGAATGAATAATTCCAAGAAACTTCAAAGTAGGGAAAACAACAAATATATACATAATATTCGACATTGTGTATATATATATATATATAATATTCCACATTGCAATACAACCAAGCCACAAATTATATATCATTATATTATTATTTTCCTCAGCAGTAGCACAACTTGGAATTTCATGCACAACACAATCTTCAGGTGCTGAATTCAGCATTGTATCTGAAACTCCAAGTTATGTTACCAGTGAGAAATATATGTGTGTGTGTGTGTGGGTGATCCACATACAGGCAGGCCTGTTTCGCTATATCACAGCTCATCAGTATAGCTAGACATCCGATTGCTACAAGCCATGATCAAAACCCGACTGACTTGGCATCGGTCAGAGTTTCTATCTGAGCTATCAGCACATGGCAGAGGGAAAGGGAAATTCTAGCATTATTTTTAATTTGTTATTAATTCTAGTTTTATTTTTACAAATTTAAACAAACACCAGACAGCCATAGTGCTCAGTTCATTTAATTAAGAGCGCTGTGTTAGCAAAGATGGCTGCTATTAAGAATTACCCTCACTCTCAACAGTGCTCAACTGAAATTATTGGGAGCATAATAATTTCATCCACATACAGGCCTGTTTCACTGTGGGTCTATGTATGTATGTATGTATATATATATATATATATATATATATATATATATATATATATATATATAAACTTTAAACTTACTGATTGTATATTTATGATTATATAAAACAACTAATTTCAAAATTTGAAATAGTTAATAAAAAATTTTATAGACAGATCATGTTCATCCATATATATATATATATATATATATATATATATATATATATATATATATATACTTTATCCTGAAGACATACCATAAGTGTTCTGAATAGCTTTTCGATTTTGTCTCCATTTTTTTCCAAATTTATTCAGACATTTTTCTACATCTTACTAATTCCCATATATATTGATATATATGCCCTGCTCAGCATATCATATATATATATATATATATATATATATATATATATATATATGCTCAAGTGTGTGTATATATATATATATATATATATATATATATATATATATATATACTTGTGCAGTAGTTTTGCATGCAAATTTTATTAAAGTTTTTCATACAAATTTCATTAAAGAGCAATGGAAATTCTTTGTTAAGGAGTTTATTAATTTTTTTTCCAGCCTTTTGGCAAATCTTTTGACATCAGGATTGAAGTTGTGCATGGATATCTATAAAGCCTTTGTTAATAGTAGTTATGTTTATTAGCTGAAAGCAAGTTCAAGATTTTAATAAAAAGGAATAATTATGATAAATTTTCAAAAGAAAATCACAAGATGTCTCTCACACTTGAAGTGTTGTAAGATTCAGAAAAAAATTAACATAAGAAGGCTAATAAGCTGTGTATACATTTTTTTATGCATATAATACTTTTTTGACTCTGAGAACAATACATAAAATTACAAGAGTTACCTTAGTTGGTGCTTATTCTAAAAAATATTCTTTATTTTCAAAGTATTCAATTATACCTCTCTCTCTCATATATATATATATATATATATATAGAGAGAGAGAGAGAGAGAGTGAGTGATATGCAAAAGTATTGTGCACAGTTGGTCCAAGATGAGTTTGGATTACTCCTACTACACACCAAAAAATATGTAATAACCATTATTTGCCTGATGAAGGTGATACAACCCAAAACATGTAGCAAAAATATAAAAAATAAACTATAAAATATAAAAAAAAATCCACATTAAAAAAACAAAAAACATTTGCGGCCTCTTATCTCTTTAAAATTTACACTTTTTCTTGGAACAACTATAATCTCTCCCTTATATCTATCTATGTATATATATATATATATATATATATATATATATATATATATATACGAAGTCCACCAAAAAGATGTATAGACAATCCAGTTAGGGAAAAATTTGTATAGATATTGTGATAATAAACTTATTCAGACATCACAAGATTAATACAAGTTACCTTTTGGACTCTACAATCACAAGAGATGATCAAAATGGTGGCCTTTAGCTTCCAGACATTTTTTAGTGTGGTGAGTTACTGCTTGGACAACATTGGCCAAAGTGTCCATTGGGATTGCTGCACATACATTTTCATTTTTTTGTCTAAGGGCTGCCAATGTAGTCAGTTTTCTGTGATGCACAACATCCTTTAGAACTTGTTGATGCTACAGCCATGAGGATAATGCCATCTGTTGAGAAAATATCATACTACTGTAAAGAGTGTTATCAAAATTTGATAAAACTACAAAAGACAAATTTATCCTTTCTTGAAGTGTGTATGCATTTTTTTTGACAGACTCTGTGTGTATATATATATATATATATATATATAATGAAATAGAAGTTAAGGAATAATAAGCTTAAATTATCAAATAAACTGAGGTCTCAGTGTCAGAGCCAGTGGCAGACTGGTCAAAGTGTAAGCTCACTATATCAAATAAAAATGTAGTAAAGGAGTAATAACTTTATAAAGTCACCTGCACAATATCAGTTAATCAAGTCCAAAGTAAGAGGACATTTTCAAAGCTAAAGATCATAAGGACAAGGTTAAGAATTTCATTCTCTGAAGAGAATTTGGAATCATACATGATGCTATCTGATGTAATGGAATAACCTGTCACCCCCATGAGTAACTACACTATAGGTAGTAACCACCTATAAGTATCGGTAAGTCAATGAACTACAGTGTCTAGCTGGAATCTGTTGAGTACGACAGACTTACATGAGAACTACCAACCTTCCAAAAGTAGCACTCACTACTGGATTGACTTGTGACAACCTTGTGCATAACTGTTACCTTTATTTGTATTGTACTGGTTTTTTACAATCAACCTTTACTTATTTTATCCCCCTTGTTTTTCAAGTATATATTCCTATTAGCTCAGAATATAACACTATCCACTGAAAAAGAATTGTTAGATGAATTGGATTCAGAAGCAAGTACTGACAGATTCATATAATCATCTAGTAAACACAAATGATTGCTCTTAATATAGTGAACTGCATACAGTGTTCCATTGTGCTTTTGAACTATCTGCTAATTTATAAATTGTGCAGTAAACTACTTAAAAATGTCAACCAATTACTTGAAATTAAAAGAAAATAAATAAATTTTAACATGCTGTATTTACATTTAGTATCTACTGTCAGTAAAATGTACAGTATATGTACACTGTAACTACTAAAACATACACTACTGGAAACCAATATTTCAAGACTCTATCTGTCACTGGGCATAGCTTAAATAATAGTATTATTAATACAATAACATTAAGATGATAATCAACATCCACTAATCAGTGTTTAAGAAACACCAAGTGCAGATTTTGATTACCGTCTAAATATTGTATAAATAATATATATATACACACACACACACACACACACACACACACATTCAGTTTTATTTTATAATTTTCATGTATGTTTGTTGGCAAACTTTTACCCTTATGATGAAGGTGTTTAATTAATTTTCAGGTAATATAAGCTGCTGTTAACTTAACATGAATATGTTTTCCTAAATATGTGTGTCTATGTTTATGTTTGCACACACCTGTAAAAGAATGCAAACTATATGGATAATAACTGAATATGTAAAATCCTGTGTACATTTGTAAGCACATATTTATTATGGTAAGACGGAGTGTAAAATTCGTATTTTTGTTAGTGTACATAATGTTAATTTTCCTACAGAATTCACAATGTTAATTTTGTTAAACTGTAAAAGCAACCTTTGAACTCCTGAACAAACTGAATGACATTTTATTCTAGACATCAATTATTTAAATAAAAAAATGATGATTATACAAACAAGAAGTATATTTTTTTCTATTTTTTTTTACTTTTCTAAATTCATAGAATGAATTTTGTGCTCATAAAATCTTATTGCATTTAAATCTTAAATGTGTTTTCTTTTCTCAAATTTAATAGGTTATATTAAGTAGAAAGATATGATAATAAATTTTCTACTTTGCAAAATAATATTGTTTTTCAATAAACTCTTTGGCACTAAATGTTTTTCCAAAACAAAAACAAAAGAAATTTGAGTTACATGGAGAATAAAAATTCTAAACCAACTCTGTTGTAAAATTTCCTAAATAATGAGCCTAAGAGTTAAGACTCTTGTAAGACATTATTAAAAATAAAATTAAGACACTTACAAGGCATTATTGAGACCTTAAATGCTATAAAACTCTTTAATTGAACAGTTGTTAACATTTTTCCTCCCAGAAGTTCAGAACAAACAAATGATGATCTTGTTCTCAATTCACTTGTTTAAAAGTAATTCTTTGTGTAATTTATCATATAAAATATTTATATGGAATTTATCTTTTATTGTAAACAGAATATTCTCCCTTTCTTGTTAATCAATGTCAGCATTTATAAAATAGATTGTATTTTAAATAAAAAGTAAAGATTTATGAGAATTGATGAGTTTACATGTTTTTCTAATTAGATGAATCATAATTTTATTGAAAGATTAACTTGTTTTATTATATATGACATTTGATTATTATAATTAAAAAAAAAAAATATTCTTGATATATATAAAGATTAATTTTTCTCATTTAATTATTTTTTATTTCTAAAGGGACTTATTTTTATTTATTTATTTCCAGAGTGACTTACCAGTGAGAAAACTAGAACAGTTCCATTTCACATCTTGGTCCGATCATGGGGTCCCTCCAACCCCAACAGGATTGGTGAATTTTATGACCCGCATTCATGCAGACAATAATCCTGAGACTGGCCCACTTGTAGTACATTGCAGGTAAGCCATATTCTAAGATATTATTTGAGACCTTAACAGAATTGTCTTACCTTCCAGTTATTCATTGTTTTTTGTTTATTCAGAAATTCTGAAAGTTTGCTGATTTGCTGATTGGCATTGCAAATCGACACATGAACCTATTCATGAATACAATGAAAAACAACATGCCGAGTTTATCTGTGGTATAATTTTGATGTAAATATTTACACTTTATGTAGGTAAATAATGCAGAAAACTATTTTTTACAATATGCATTGAATACATATTTTTTTCCATGAGATATATATTAGTCAGATGAATAACAAAGTTGAAAAAATTCTGTGTAACACATGTGTTCCTCTAGAAGGACTTCCTTGTAATTTTTTTTGTTTGATGGAATTATGTATGTATGTATTGCAAGGTGTTGATATAAAAAAGCACAAGTGTGTGTTACCTTTATACACAGAGGATTCCTGAAAATGAGGTAACGCTAAAAATATTAAATTATTTTTTTATGACTAACATTGTCATGATATCTAAAAATGTATATATCACATAATCCCATTTTATATACCTATATGCATGTTTTTGTGTGTGTTTGTTAAGAATGATGATTTTCATTTAGAATTTGGCACAGTTGTTGAAAACATTTGATATAAAGTTGTCTTTGGTGCTGAGGACTGTAGAAGTCAAATGACTTACCTTCTAACATGGCTGTCTCCTTTTAAAGGCAGACCAGCTAATCTACCCCATTTATAGGACAGTACCTAATACATCAGGTGGGTTAGTCCACTTTACTAGAATGGACCCACCCAACACATTTTCATTGGATCCTTTTCAACCATATATCTCTCTATTAAATCACTCAATGCTGTTTTTCAGCTGAAAGTGACTACACCAGTCTACCTGTGTGTCAGACACCCTTGCAAGTTAACCAATATTCTACAAGGACTAGTCATTTCTCAGGAAGTTAAATTTTAAATAATCTCAGACCATAAAACCTATTTACAAAGTTTCATCCAAGATACTTTACCAGTTTTAATCTCTGCTACACATTGTGCAGCAAAATGGAAATCATTTTTATAACTGTCATATTTTTTACTGTACAGTATGCCCTTTTGACTAAAGAAGTATTCAGAATTTTCTGAAAGTCATAAATAAATATCTCAGATATGCCTTGAAGCTATTGAAGGTAATACTTACATCTTCTACAATTTGTTTTCTTGCTTCTTTGACTAAAGAAAATAATCCATTACATAAAAGATTGATGAAAGAAAGTGTTTATATATTGATGCATTTTTACTTTAAATTACTTTTTGGTACAAAGTCTTTCATTAAAAATACTGAAGAAAAACTAGAAAAGTAAGTTAAAGTTAATAGATGCAGTGATTCTTGGATGCACAAAAATTTTCCCTTACACTTTTTCCAGTTCATTATTTTAATGTTTCTTCATAAATAACTGATTAGTTAGATTCTAATATAAAGTTCTACTTTCAACTGTAGAGATAGAAGTTGAAATTTCCATAAGCTATAAGGCCAAATATCTGAAGTAAAATAAACAAAATTTTTCACCTCAGCTGCTAGCACTATCTTTTAGCTCATGATTTAAAGTCATCAACATTATCAGAAATTTTCATAAATAGTAAATAAATGTTCAGAGTTTTAGGTGGAGATGTTAGAAGTATATAGCGTTGAAGTACACTTTAGAAGGAACCGGAAAGCTAATTTTAAACAGGAAGCAAAAGATGGAACAAAACTTATAAGGAAGTACTAAGAAATGACTTTCAGAATCTCTCTCTGAATTAAATTTGATTTATTCCACAGAAAATCAAATGGGAGAAAAGAGAAAAGAACTGACATATCTTGTCGTTTATGAATTTAAAAATATATAATATCATGAAATATTTATGTTGATAGATGCACTCATATAAACATTCAGTTTAGGAACTAATATACTAAGTATATTACATAACCCCAAAAAAAGAAAATCAGATGACACTGACACTACTAACATGTGAGGACTCAGTAGTTGGAAAAAATCTGACATGACACTCAATAACTACCGAGAGATATAACTTTAATAATCATTTAAATTTCTTAGGTGGTGACTTATCAAAGCTATAAGAGTTCAGAAGAGATTAGAAAAATGACCTGAACCTTCTTCTTCTATATGCCAAGTCTCTTCTGAATTTTGGCTCTCCACAATTTCCTGTCTTTTGTAGCTCTTAATAAATTTTGTCTTTTTGTTATCTCCCCTGAACCCTGTTTACTCAGTTTCACTAGATAGCTTATGAATTGTTTTCCACTATCCCCTCTTGCCTTCAATCTGTCCTCTGAGTAGCAAATTCTCCAATCCCTCTTTTTGTTTTATGTGCCCTGGAAATTTCAATTTTCCTCTTTCTAATAGTAAGTATGTGTGCTTTTTATTTCCATTTTCTCTAAAACTTCATCGTTACTCATATGTCCAGTCCATGGTATTCTCGGCATCCTTCTGTAGAACCACATTTCTGTTGCATCAAGTCTCTTCATCTATGAAAAGATTGTCTAGAATTCATTCCCATATAGAAGGACTGATATTGCATAACAGTTCAGTATTCTTTTCTTTATTTTTAATGAAAGTCTTCTGATTCTTAATACTTTACTTAAATTTTTGGCAGGCATTTTTTGCTATCCCAATGGATATCAGTGTCACACATTCTCTCTTTTATTAAAATACTTCCCAGATATCTAAATTTTTGTACTTGTTTGATTTTGGTATCTCCAATTTGTAATTTGTATTTTAGGTTCTTCCATTTGTGGGCAACCATCTTTTCACAATCAATTTCTGTCCCACATGTAATAATCAAGAGGTTTGCAGTCTAGGGAGTTATGGTCGCAAAAAGTGTCGGACAGCCATGGCTGGGTTTTCATACTTGTGTGGCATGTTGCAGAGTACTGCTGCCACATATAGGGTCTTCTAGCTTCCACCCTCTTGAACCCGGAGCAGTACTACCTCCTTAAGGCACTTGATATAGGTTTCTGTGTTGAGTCTCAAGCCCTGTGGGAAGATGAATGGAGGCATAACATCACCATCACTAGTGATCACTCCAAACGCCATGATGTTGACTGGATCATCATTCAACTCTTTCTGAATCCTCTGCACTGTCCTCAGATTGACACACAAACACTTTGAAATGTTTGTATTGGAGCTTTTGATATAAATGCCAATCAGTACAGCATGCCATTTCCAAATTTCTGGCAGAGTGAATTGTGTTATAGTGATCTTTTTCTCACAGATGGTGCCCAACTGACTCTACTGTGCAGTTGAAAAATAAAAAACAAACAATGTGTATGCACAAAATTAAAATATAGAATGGTGACAATTTACCCATCGCACACTGTACATGCCAATTATGTAAAAAAATTGGATGCATTATGGTGAAAATACTAATGAATATGTATTAAAAACTAAACTTTCCAAAACTAAAACTATGATCTGGAATTGGAATGAAAGTTGTGATGGTACCTACTTTGAATCCATCTTCAGAATGTAGAATTAGAAAATACTAAGCACTTCAAATACATTGGTGTATGGATCAGTTATAACAAATTTAGTACAAAAGATAAGGAAGTTGAACATAGTCTCTGCTAAGGGTAGCTTTTTCCCAACACTGCAAGTTGCTACAAACTAAAATATTAACTTAATAAACTGACTCATGTTCTTAAAGAGCCTAATCAGATCAAGACTCATATGGGCGACATGGTTGGCACCAAACTCATTAAAAAATATTTAAATTTTCAGCTATATACCTCTACTTTCTCAAGATTAATAGTTAAAAATTGCTTTGAGCAAGTGAAGCATTGAAGTGTGGATGAGGACTATACTTTTTCTAGTCTCATGGACCGGTGCTACAGAATCGCAAAGAACTGTAGCAGAAACTACATCACTTGAGAACTTTCAACAACATCAAAAATTGATATCACATGTAAGTCAAAGAGAAAATAATGACATAATCAAGATGTTGACTTTCAACACTATCTCAAACAAAAGGTTAGGAAGAAAACCCCCATCAATACTGGAAAGAACAATAACAGTGTCCTTGAGAAACTTATTTTCTTGAAAAATTGTTTTAATAGAAAGATTTTTATAAAATTCAACTGAAATTTATCAATGAATGCTGAATGTTTCCTTATAAAGAAACAGCTAGTATTACAATTACCTATAAAAATGAATGACAAGGATTTATTTTCTACAACACATTACTATTTTCTAAAACAAGTTTTCCTTTTAATATTATCTTTGCTGATATATTCATTTATATCTTATATTTTATATACATGGCTTTGTAAATGAATAAGACACACACACACACACACACACATATATATATATATATATATATATATATATATATATATATATATATATATTGCACACTCACAGATTGTTAGTAAAGTTTAGAGAAGGGTATGTTTTTCTACATCAGATGCAGGGGAAGGTTTGACAGGTGGTGGCTTCTTCAGTTCTTCATAACTGCCTTTTTCCTTCCACTTTTTTTTTTGCTGCTTCATTCTGCAAAGGACATTGCCTGATAGATCCGGTGGTTCTATTTCAACCTTTGGCTTCCCACTGAGGGTGGTTGAGATGAAGGTACTTTTCAGAGAGTTCTATTTCTTCAATGGGGACTAAATAATGTTTACACTTGCATCTTTTTCTTCATCTAGCTTAAAAACTAGTTACACTGACAATCTCTCAATGTAAGTATCAAAGTTATTCCAACATATTTTTTAAGCTAATATAGAGACATCACTGATAGAAATACTCGGATGTGTGTGACATTTACGTATGATATGGTCCTCTGTGTCAGAGAAGAATGAATTGCCTGATGGTTTTG